TAAGTTTGCCCAGTAGTTCCTTCTTTAACCATGCAGGTCTCCTAGCACCCTTACTAGATTTCCTAACCATTGGGACGCTCTGATCCTGTGCTTGCAAGAAGTGGTCCTTGAATGTTGACCAGCTATCTTGAGCTCCTTTATCTTCTAGCACCCTGTCCCATGGGATTTCCCTTAATAGATGATTGAGGAGACCAAAGTTTGCCCTGTGGAAGTCCAGGGTTCTGGTCCTGCTGGGTATTTTGTTCCTTCCACACAGGATCCTGAACTCCACCATCTCATGATCACTGCAGCCAAGGCTGCCATTGACCACCACTGCTTCAACAAGGCCCTCCTTGCTGGTTAGTACAAGATCCAGCAGCGCTCCTCTTCTAGTCGGCTTGTCCACCATTTGCATTAAGAAGTTATCATCAATGCACTGGAGGAACCTCCTAGACTGTGAAAGGCTGGCTGTGTGAGTCTTCCAGCAGATATCAGGGTAGTTGAAATCTCCCATGAGGACCAGGGACTGTAGTTGTGAGGCTGCTTTCAGTTGCCTGTAGAAAGCCTCATCAACCTCCTCACCTTGATCAGGAGGTCTGTAGTAGACCCCCACAACTGTGTCACCCGCACCTGCTTGCCCCTTAATTCTTACCCACAGACTTTCAACTTGCCCCTCATCAGCCCCTGCACGAAACTCAATACATTCTAGTTGCTCTCTCACATAAAGAGCAACTCCACCACCTCGCTTCCCTGCCCTGTCTTTCCTAAAAAGCACTGGGCTGGGATTCCTTCTCAGCCAAAACTGTCTCTCTAAGAGCAAGCTAGTCCCCTTTCTCTCAACAGAACCTCCAAGGCAAGTGCAGATTTCCCACTTCCATAACCCAGGTTTCTTTTTTTCATTTCATACAGACAAAAACCCCAGGAGGACGCTGCTTTGCTGCTTAGATTCCAGGGCTTTCCACAAAACACCTGTATATTTATAACATTTTCAAAAATACATTTACTTTTCTCTTATTAAGTCAGCAGCAGCTTTTAGCAGGGATCCAAATTGTTAGTGAAAAAACACACATTAAATGAATATTTCGATGTTATTAAAAATAATGTGCAGTCTTTAAAAAATGCAGCCCTAATACGATTTTGGAAAACAAATGAGGAGCTCCAGTAAGTTTACAACCATTGAATGCCTCCAAGTAATGATTGTTGCTGACATTTTCATGGTTTATTTTTAATTGCTGCAGCTAATAACGATAATGAGGGAGGAATGACCATGGCTTAGGCGTAGCAGTGGCAACAGTGAAAGAGAGTGTTGAGTAGGCAGCAGCCCTGCTGAGCACCCATCCTGCCTCGCCTTTCCCAGATGGAGACCTGAGGTGCTCAAAGCCTTAGAGTTCTTCCTGCCTCTGCAGCCACAGGGAAGAGAATGCAGGAGGGACCTTTGGGAGTGACAAACCACTGACAAGAGAAGACACCCTTGTCTGAGCCTTGCAGATGGGTGCTGCAGTTTGGCTCTTGGTACCATCAGCGTTAGAGCACTGCTTGGGACTGTACCAGGAGAGGAGGCAGCTTCCTCTTTAATCCTTGGTGCAAGATTAACCCAAATCACACTGTTCTCATGAAAGGCAGTGTAGACCAGTGCTTTGATTTAGGGGGCCTGCGGCTGGATTTATTTGGTGTTTGAGAAATTAAAACCTCTAGACTTGCTGATTCAGCCATAATTATGAGTCTGATTTGATCACTGTATTGTTCCATTCTTAATCCTTTAGTGAAGTTAGAACAGGTTAATCTTAGTGAAATGTTTGCTTAATTCTACCCTTGCTCATTTGTTCTCTTAATAAAATCTGCGTAAAGAATGGAGAAATAGTAATTCTTTCAGCTTGTTCCAATTACTCTGAGAGCAAAGCTAATTCAGCTGAAGCAGCTTAAGAGCAACTTGATTGTGTTTCTACAGTTGAGGCTGTCTGCCAACAGAAGATGAGGCACCTTCTCTGCTTTGGAGCAGTGCCAATGTGTTTCTCTGGTTAAAATCTGGAGTATACCCATGTCGGGCTCTTGCATGACCTTTTCTCTAGTTTCCTGCCTTGCTGCACACTCCTGTCAGGCTCTTTTTCTCCTCTTCTGGGCTGCTGTTGCATCCACAGCCTACTAGCAAGTGAAATAAATGGAATTGAGTGTATGGGTATTCACCACATATATTGTGAGAAGCAAAAGGCCTTTTCTGTTGGCTCTGTCTCATCAGAAAAGGCTTTTTCAACTGTCTTTTTCTCATCAGACAGGACTTATGGCTAAATGCCCATTAGTTGTGACCCACTATGGTTTTTCTTGTGGTCCTCTGTGATTGGTTGTGAGGCATCCCATTTTTATAGGCATGAGTGGTCCTGAAAACCAGAGATCTAAATTTCTGCTGCAATGTCAGTGAATATAGAGGTGGGTAAGAAGACAGCAGTGTCCCTCTGATGTCCTTCACAGAACACTTCAGAAGCTGGCAAAACAGGGCAGTGGTGGAGAGTTAATTTGTGGTGACTGGTTTTACCAGAGGATCTTTCAAAGCTGACACCTTTTCAGCACACAGAGGAATGACCAGCTGCCAAACTGTATGCAAGCACAAATCTAGCCTCACTCCTTACTTGGGTAGGGATGCTAAGCAAGGGTTAGTGGGCAGCAGAGTAAGGCTTTTTTCTTATATGCTAGAAGTCCAGCAAGTCTGGAGGAGGGAGTACACTGTAGTTGGGAGGAGTGTCTTCAACCCACTATGCCAAAGAGCTTGCTCCCATAGCAGCATGCAGTGAGGAACTGAAAGTGGAAAAAAAAGACTATAGGGAGAGAAGCATAGCTAGCAGATCTAGATCAACCTCAAGATCAAAGACTGGCACATGCAGAAAGGTCCAGCAGTGGCTCTGGGACATATTCCACTTTTCCTGAAATCTTTCCTCCTTCACACTCAGTCATCTGCATGAGATGACCCCATCTGTGAAGATAATGAAAAAGCTATGCTTGGGTATCTTCCTCTGGAGCATTCCATAAGGGATCCATACTTCTCAGAGGAGTGCAATGGATGTGTTGCTAAAAGGGAGGGAAAAGGCAAGAAAGCATATCTAACTGGAAATAAAATAATCCAAAATGAAACCTGAGCAGGGAGTATCTGTATGAACTGCAGCCCCCAACTGTCACAGTGAGCAGTCAGAGGTATCATGGTGAATGCCTAAGCAGAGAGAACTAGAATAATTCTTACTCTCTGCTAAATGCAGCCTCTCAGGAGAAATGAGAGCTGCTTTAATTTGATGATACCTTGAGAGGTCAAATCTGATCTGAACATTATGACAGTGTTGGGACAAGCCAGTCACAGAAGTTTCCTTTTTCTCTTTTTTTTTTTTTGTCCAGCCATGCTTCCAGATCTCAGCAGAGATGAAGCTGCTGGGCCTGAGCTGGTGCTGGCTCCGTTGCTCTGGGTGGGGGGTTAATTCCGGTACCTCGGGCAGATGCTCACAGATGGGTAAGATGGCTCTTTGGCTGGAAGAGGATCCTGGCTGGAGTATATTAACAAAGTAATAAAAGCCTCAAAATAGGCTAGATGATGGCAAGAAAAGGTTCAAGGAAGCATGACAATCTGTGACTCTGAACAATAGGAAACTTGTGCCGCAGTGAGCAGGAAATAATACCATATTGGCTGCAGTGCTCTGCTGCCAGGAATGATGCTTTACAGACCACAGGAGAAATCTCTCAAATGTGCTCTTACTTCTGCACTTGTTTGTTGAGCCAAATCACAAGTTCTTTCCCTGCCTCTTACTTATATCATGCCCTAAAGCATTGCAAAAGACCGAAAAAAATATGTAAGCTCTTAGAAGAAGTATAGAATGATATTAAACAGGATTTCATTTTGGGGCAAGGAATCACTCTCTTCCTGTTCTGTGGAGAGTGAATGTACTTAATGGGAATGTAGGAGAAAGCACATATTAGTATGCCCTTCCCTAAAAAAACAGGACTTATTTGTCACATACACGTGCTCCACACACCTGTCTCAGAGTCTTCTTTGCCTTGACAGAAACACAAAGGCAACTGAAACAAGCATAGTCAGAAAGACCTCTGAAGTCTGGCTTGATTTTGGCATTAAATCTTCCCTTGACGGCTCACAGTGACACTATATTGCCGATAGATTATAGATTTGCAGCTATTTCCCATGCAGGAGAGCACACAAAGGAGCACCCTCCAGCCCTAGCAGCACTCTCAATCAAATAAAAACTCTTTATCTTCCTGTTGTAGAGCTCTCTCTAGGATCCATGTATATTTTATCAAAGTTACCTGCAGCTCTGATACTTGTTTCTAAAGTGTTTTAGTATGAATCCCAAGATATACTGTAATACTGCAGTGGCCCTTTCTAAAAATATCAAGGTTAGAGAAAAAATGAAATGGCTTGACTCCACAGCATGTAATAAGAGCAAATTCTGCTCAACAGGCTTCTATTGATATAAATAAGCAGAAGAAACACAAACATACATCTATATGAAATCCTTTCACTCCTTGTAATTGTACCCTGGGAGCTGTAGGAACAAAAAGGAGCTCCACAGTTTCACCTCTCATAAATGAAGGTCCTGCAATGATCTAAAACTATTTTTATTTTTTTTTCTTCCAGAAGTGCTTTTACAGGAGAGCAACAGAAGAGCTATACCTTCAGTAACCAATTACTGTGAAGAGAGTTTAAACAATCTGGAAAAAGAAAAGGCTTGTATTTGCCAGTTGGGATTCTTGCTTTTTTTAATTTTATGTAGTAAGCTAAGGTGTGAGAAAAAAAATTGCTATGATATTTTCAGAAGAAAAGAAAATGTATTTTTTAAAGTTGCATTTCATGAGTCTTTTGTCTTTAGGGCATTTGCAAATATTAGATCAAGAAGGATGGACAGAAAGCACATTCTGGCTACAGTATAAGGCATTTAGGTTGAAGTCAGCAAAAGCCAGCACAGTGAATGGGTGATTTTGATTTTAAAAAAAAGAGTCCATTTTGTATGTAATAAAGCTTTAGTACTTACAGCTGTCCTCTTCTTCAGTAATACATTTCACAACATAACAGGCATAGATGAAGCCCGCCAGCTGAAACAAAATGTAATAGCATTAGATGTAAAGCAAATACAATAGAAAAATTAGAGCTGGTTTTAGAAAAAGCAACAACAGAAAGAGAAATAACAACATTCACCAGACACTTTTTGATGAGGTAATGATAATTCCTCACAACAGTTTGGTAATTTTAATTGGAAATAGTAGTTATATTTTCATCATTCTTGAAAAGCAAAACTTCAATAAGACTTGCAAAAATAAAAAAAATATTCCATTATTGAATTGACTTCTTTTTAGTTATCGAAAACTGAAAAACCAAATGAGTGGTTGGATGGAAGGACCTTTAGCCACTGAAAATGTCAATATTTCTGTCAAAATTAGACTTTTTTATCCAACAAAACCTGACCTGCTAGCAGAACTCATTTTTTTTTAGCAGAACCTTGCCAGGAAAACTGAGGATGAATTTAGTGCACTTCTAAACTGGCTTCATAATGATATTTTATCACTTGAGATTAGGGCTGTGGATTAGTGCGAGTTGTTCCTGCATCTGCAATAGCCCCCAAGCCTCAAGACAAAATCAGAAGTTTGGATGGGTCTGAATGTGTTTACATCAGCACCTCATGCTGCAGCTGGCAAATTTGTATCTTGTTTCTTGCTTTTTTCTTTTCAGCACATGCCCAGAAATGAATTGTGAACAAAAGCAACAGGATTTAAAGAAAATGAAAATCTGGATTGGTTCTTCAGTACCATGGCAGATTCCATATTTTACACTATCACCTGAAAAAAACAAAATGGAATAAATGGGAAATATCTCACATGCCATGGGACAAGCATCACATGAACCCTCTGCTAGTCCCTCCACCAAGTTCTGTCATGACTGAGGAATGACACCAGAAGCAACAGAACAAATACTGGAGCAGCAGCATGTGCCATGTATTGTGTGCTTTACAAACCTTCCCTTACATGTAGGTCTGGAGACTTTACTGATTGCCATCCAACCCTTTTTCATCCTTTAGCTCACTGCTGAAGTTTGCGTGGTAGGAAGTCAAAAGAATTCAGGTTGTTTGATCTCTTCATAGTGAAAAATGAGCTATGCTGTCAAAAAGTGTTATTCTGTACAGGTCACCTCACAGAGATCTTTTTATGAGCTATAAACCCAACTGTAGACTTTGGGAACTAGTTCCTTATGTGGATAATGAAATTGCCTAAAGGCTCCAGCCAGGACAGAGCTGTCTGTGTGCATAGTGCAAAACCCATAATCTCCAGGAGATGAGGGAGATGATGATCTTCATTTCAGACAAAGTAATCAGTAGGTCAGGTGGTTAAAAGGGGGAAATCAGAGAGAAGGCCATGTAATGTTATGAATGTCAGTTAGTGCAGATGGATTTTTTTAACTAATTCAAGGCACACCTACAATCACTGCAGGGTTCTGGGTTCTTAGAGCCCTTAATATTACCTGTATCCATTAAATACAAACAGATCCATGCTGTTTCCTATTGGCTTCATACATGAGGCAGTGACTGTGCCTAATTTACTGCACAGATCTCCCTAGTATTTCTGTTACTTTTCTATGCAGATAGCTCTCCATACCAACAAATGAATGTCATCTTCTAACATCTATATGGATGAGACATGGCTAATGGAAAAAGGAAAAGGCCAGCCCAGAGACATTTCTGACAAGATCAAGACTTGGAGACCATGCAGCAGCCAGCATAGATGTTGTCTGCTAACAGCTTAAGTTCCTGTTGGGAGCTCAGGAGCTGCATTACTAAATCACTGCTTTTGTTGTCTACTATATATCTGCCTCATAGTGGTGCTAGGAAGATTTTACACCTGGGAAAGATGAAATGTTCACTGCTGGACACAAAGAATGTCCTGTACCAAGAACAGTGGCATTCAGCTAATATCAGCATTTCATCTCTGTTTTATTGGATCACTCTTTGGTTTCTTGGCTTCAAGACAAAGGGCTAATTTGCTCCACTGACTTATGCCCTGTATAACCCCATTGACTTCAATGACATTACATGAGGTTTAATTCAGCAACAAATTATGCCCAGAAAGGTTGTTCATAAACGGTTCTGTTCTTGGATATGAACCCTGACTCTAATAGTTTATTTGTTCTCTTTTTACAGACCATCAGATCCAAGATAGCTGAATAGTTGCATCTCTAGTAGGACATGGTGCTGGCAAAGTTTTTCTTGCAGTACAGTTCAGTAATTTACTATCTGCTAAAACACCACCAGTTCACATACTATTAACTAAGCTTCTCTCACAAAGCACAGCAGTTTCACAAACAATACCTACAACTGATCTTTTAATTGTATTCAGTTACATCCCTTAAATGTCTAGGGAACTCCTTTGATATAAAAGTAAATCCTACAACATTTTATCAGATGAGCCCGCTGATTAAAAGTGTGCCTTAAAGCTGGAAGTTGTTCTGTTTTAAATACAAATGGAAGTTTGTTTCCCATGAGATTATCAGAGTTCATAAAATAAACCTTTTCTTCTCCCACATTTATCTAACCCTTTGCTTGGTACCCATAATAATTTTGGTTTAATTTTAACATCACATGAGTTTATGAGTCTATTAGTCTTCCTCTTTTTTAACCAAGGAATTTATTAGTTCTGATACAGTGACAGCCATTCAAGATTTATCTTTTAATTGCATCAGCCATAGGGGACATTCACTGAGAGCTGATATTTAGAACAGAAAGTGGTAGTTTTTGTTTTGAGGACAGTAAGTGGCCTGAGCCCATGGTGACTATAGAGACCCCTGGGCTGGAGACAAGGAACGTGCTTCTTCCTCAGTGGACTCATGTTTCCTGTAGGAAGAGCACAGCTCATCTATGCATGTAGCAGAGATTTCTTGGGGATGAGTCAGCTAAAATTTTTACTGAATTTCCACATGGAGAAAGGACTTTAAAAAAAACCAACAACTATCAACTTTGTTATACTGCAAGATGCATTTCTTTGACCTTTTTTTTTCTATAAGAAAAACACACTGCCATGTACCTACGTACAGAACAAAATAAATTCTAAACAAAACTCTCCACTGAACACACTCCTCTCCCCGGAGAAGATGAGAGAAAAAAAATACAAACCCCAACAGTAGACATTAGTCACATCACTTAATATTTTTCTGGGAAGCCCTGAAACAGTGCAGTGCTGAGTGCAGTATGAGACTTATACACACAGAGCAGAGTCCTCCTTATTCAGTATCTCAGGAAGTTTTTTGTTTTAGGAAGGGAAGGAACCCTCAGACATAGAAAAGAGAAAGAGTATGACTGCCTTAGAAAATTGGTTTAAAACTAGAAAAGCTATATTGAAAACTCATATTCCTTTGCATATCCCCACCCCCTTTCTTAAATTTGTATTAACTGAGCTTTCTTTCATAAACCATGTAGCAATGAACAAAAAACAAAGCCAAACCAAACCAAAACAAAAATAAATAGGTGCAATAAAGAGAAGATGGAATCTGGATCCCACATTCATCCAGATTAGGTGTCTACATCTGTCCTATTCACATTTTAATGCTGTAGTACAGGTCTCTAGAGGAGAAGGAACAATTAACGACACTCTGGCTCATTTATACATGTAGTGATTATTGCCTGCATGTTTTTATGAACCTCATTTTCTGAAGCTTGAAAAAATCTACTTTCTAGCTTTCCCTGATATGTCTATACCTGAGTATGAATTAAAGTTGCTCCTCTAAAAGTGACACATTGCCCATTGCTGCACCAGGTCCCTGGCTGTTACTTAGATGGAATCTGATGACCACTTTTATTTACAATGACCTCAAATGCTTAAATTTTATTTTATTTTTTTTCATCTAAAAACATCTTCATAAACACATTCCTTCTGCCAAGAAAAAAAGAGGTGGAGCAAAAATCTAAAATAAATCAGCAATATAGCAGAATTACTGAAGGTTTGGCAATGAGATTACTTATGGAATTAAGTTAATGCAACTTAATGTCTTATTATAGCCCTATAATGCAAACAAAAACGTTGATAGGATATTCCCTACCCAAGTCAATGGTGTCCTGTTACACTGATAGAGACCCTTAGCAAATCCTGAGTTTTCTGTGAGTGAACTTCTAGACTTGCTCAAAATGTCAAGTGCTGTGATCAAAGTTTATCAGAATTGGTATTGATCAAAATCCTGTCTTACTACTTTTTCCCCCTTCTTTTATGGAGATGAATGTTTTCATACACTGCAAATAACACTAAACTTGGGAAAAAAGCTGTTATATGAAAACCCATCAATCCTGGTCAAGGCCCCCACCTTTCTCTTGTAAAGCAATATATATATAGATAATTACGAGGAGTTATCTTTATTAAGCTGGACACCTGAAACAAAAGAATGACAGCAAGGAAGAAACAAATACTAAAAGTGGGTGAGATCTGAATGGGTTAAGGTGATGAGAAGAAGGCTCAAGATGAAGATGAATGAGTTAAGGGTTAGGGAAACAGTACATGGTCTTGCCTTCATTGAATAAGTGTGTTTTACTCTATAACTTTTTTTTTATATGTCAGAAGAAATGGACTTTAGTCTTAAAAAACACAAGCCCATTGTGTTTTTTTGTGAAAAGATGTCCCAGCATCTTCTGAAACAGCTGAAGATTGTGTATATACTTTTAATTTTAAAATTTTTGCAGGATTCTACAAACACTGTGGTTTCAACACCTGAGAAAAACATGAGCTAGTTCAAGCAATAATAATGCAGATTTACATGTAAGTTACTTTTGGCCCTGGGAAATTTTTATTGCAAAATTGTGATGTTATATCTCTACTCATGTGCAATTCAATAATCTTTCTTAAGCTTACTGCACATATAAAGCCTTCAGAATGTTATGCATTTAAGGAACAGTGTTTCTTTAAAACTGATTTTTGAAGGCTGGAGGTATATATATACACATTATGAGCAACTGAAGAACTAGACAATTACTATCTAGAAAGCGTCCAGTGTACTGATTCTCAGAAAAATCATACTCATTATTTAGCAGAAAAGGTGAGACAGAGACCTTTCTCTCAGTATC